GAGTTTTGAAACAGAAAATCCTTAAGTACATCTAGGTTATATTTAAATGGTTCCAAGGGGCTGGGGATTTAGCTCAGCGGCAAAGCGCCTGCCTGGCAAGAGCAAGGTCATGAGTTCGATTCCTGGTACTGGAAGAAAAAACAAAACAAAAAAACAGATAAATGGTTCCAACTTATTTCCCCATATACTAAATTCTATTATTTTTATTTCCCATTTGTTTCGTTTACTATGTTTTTTAAATTTCTGTTCATCTTTTTCTGAATTTTCCCCTTCAAAAGGTAGAACTTAATTCTGCTCGCCTTGAGTATGAATGGCACTTATTATCCCACTGCTGATAAGGGGGATTTGAGAGAAGGTGCTGTGCTATGAGGTCGTACATGGAATTCTCTCTCTCTGTCTCTCTGTCTCTCTCTCCTCTCTCCTCGTCTGTTCTAGGTAAGCATGCTGTTGTCCTAGGACACGGAGTCCTAAAGTGAAGCACATGTGTGGAAGGTGCTAAGCCCTCTGTCGCAGCCACCTTACCAATGGATGCTCTAGTCCCAGTGTAGCCTTCATACGGCTGCTGCCCTGGCTGATGTCTTAACACCCTCATGAGAGACCTAAGTCTAAACCACTCAAATACATTTTTTTCTGAATTTCTGATATATGATAATTCTGAAATAATAAATACTATTTATAATAATGCATACTATTTAATCAAAACCTTAAATACTATTTATTATTTTGAACAGTTAAGTATGGTGGTAATTTGTTGTGAAGCAAGAAATAGCGAACAAAAGTTTTGAGGAGTAAAACGGAAATATGTACAATTATAATTGGAGATTTCAACACTTATCTCTAAGTCACTGACAGAACAAACAGTAAATGGATAAATGTAAAGATCATTAAGAGGCAACATGACTTAAGGGAGTTTTGTAGAGCATATCTCCTAAGAAGAGCAAAACATCATTCTCAAGTGAATACAGGGCATGGACATGTGTAGACCTTATGCTAGAAAGGTTAAAAAAAAAAACGTCCATAAGACAACTGGGATGAGGGAAAGGAGAAAAAGAATGAAATGAGGAAGGGAATAGATAGATAGATAGGATAATTGTACTGCTGATGTCTGGTGGTTTATTGAAAGGAACAGCTAATGTTTAAGTTATTTTTGACCAATTTTGCATGATTATATCTGGTGATCTGAACAACTAATTTCAGGACAACTATATGCAATATAACAACCATTGGTGAATTCCTGTCATCTTGTTTGGTGAAGCTCTGTATCATTTCTGATGTTTTTATTTATTATTTTTTATTCTTTTTGATGGTTTGATCAATCTTACATTCTCACATCTAGTAATCTGAGTAATTTCGTTGAAGATAATAATATGTAATATAACAACCACTGTTAATTCCTACCATTTTGTTTTCAAACGCTTATCATTGTTATAGTTTTTGCTTTGTTTAGTTTTTATCTATATTGTTGTTATTTTATTGTTGTTTTTTATTCCCTTTATTTTTTTATTTTTTGGTTTTTTTCCGGCACTAGGAATCGAACTCAAGATCTTGCACTTGCCAGGCAGGTGCTATGCCGCTGAGCTAAATCCCCAGCCCCTTATTCTCTTTATAATTAAAAAAAGAAATCATACAGTGTATATTCTCTGACTATGAGGAATTAATTTGGAAATAAATAACAGTGAGATATCCAGTGAAACCTTAAGAATGGTTATTAATAATACAATTTACAATAACACATCTGTCAAAACAAAACAACAAAAGGAATTTTAAAAAAGATTTTGAATTGAATGAAAAACTTTAAAATCCAAAATTCATGGAGTGCATAAGGCTCTACTTACAGGAAAATTCATAGCTTTTCTATTTATATAAAGAAAAAAGAACAATCTGCAATCATTTCAGTTTCTCCTCTAAGAAACTGAAAGGAAGTGTGAAGTAATGTCTAAATATGTGAAGAAAAATTTTAGAATTCAAGAGAAGCTGATGAAACAATAAAAGTAGACAAAATGAAAAAAGCTCAAACAATAAAGAAATCAAATTGCAAGCTGATTCTTGGAAGAAATCAATAAAATTTATGAGTCTTTATTTAGACTAATGTAAAATAGAGATGGCAAGTTACCAAGATCAGGAAGACAAGGTCAGCATTACACACTCTAAACACATTAAAAGGCTAATAAATATTGTGTATAAGTTTTTGCCAATAAATCTGACAATGAAGAAGACAAATGAATTTGTTAAGAGATATCATCAAAGTTTTTTGGAATAATAGAGAAATCTGAATTCCTCTACATCTAATGAAAACATTTAATTTAAACCTGGTAATGGAAAACCTTTAAAAAAAAGAAAACTACAGACCCATACGGTTTCACTGGTTAGGTCTATCAAACATTTAGAGAAGAATTAAAGACACCTCGAAATGTTTAGAGCCACCACATTCCTACTAATTACACTAGGACGGTATTACTTTGATACCAAAACCAGATAAAGATTAAGAAGAAAGATTATTACAGACTTCTATCTGTCATATGCATAGTCACAACATTGTTTTCAAAGAAGAGTGTAATTGAAGAATAATTGATATATAAATAATTATATATAATGACTGCAAATAATCTGATAGGTTTGACTGTATTGAAACCATTGCCTCAATCAAGTAATAACTATACCCCTCACTTCTGGGTGATGTGTGTAGGTGTGTGTGTGGATGTGCCTGTGTGTGTGTGTGCATGGTAAGAACACTGAACTATGAGTTCTACATTTTAAAAAAAATCAGTGCACAGTACAGTAATGTTGACTATTGGACACAAAACACTTACCAAATATTAGCAAACTGAAACTATCAAGAAACCCTATTGTAATGTTTTTTTTTCTTGTTGTTGTTGTTAGTGGGAATCGAACTCAGGACCTTGCACTTGCCAGGCAAGTGCTTTTGCTGCTGAGCTATATCCCCAGTACAACCCTGTTATAATGGGATAATAAATCATGACCAATTGGAGTGTGTGCCAGCACTGTGAAACTGATTTAACATTTAAAAAATCAGTCAGCATAATTCAACATGTTTATGAAAGAAAGAAAATTATGTTTATTTAAATAGATGCAGAAAATGCATTCGCCATAATGTAATGCTCTTCAGTCACAAAAGCTTTTAGCAAAACTCTCAGCAGGAGAAAGAAATGTTCTCCATCTCAGGCTGAGTATGGACTAGAAACCTTAGCCATTGTCAAACTGGGGAATGTGAATGCATGGTGGCCTTTCTGTTCTGATCAGAAACGACGCAGAGATGTGCACTTCCACCCTTCTATTCAGCTTTCTTAGTACAGTTTTTTTTTGTCAGAGGCAAGTGTCAAGAAAATAGTATAAGGTATAAAATTGAAAAAATAGTGAAACTTCTTATGTAGCATGATCTGTACCTAGAAAAGCCTAAGGATCAACATATGAGTTAGTTGAAATGATTTAGTCTTTTATGATGCAATGTATGTGACCAAAATCGATTGTATTATTATTAATATAAATATTAGAATATAAAATCTTACTTACAATAGCATACAAAAAGTGAAACATTTGAACTTAAATTTTAGGAAATGTGTTCAAGACACATACATGAAAAACTACAAAGCACTGCATAGATTATTAAAGCTGTAATGTGTGGAGACATTCTGCATTTGTGGTATGAAAGTTTCAGTGTTGCTAAGACACCAAATCTCCCAAAATTAACCTATTCATTCAAAAACAGACCCATACATGCTCCACTGACATTTGAAAAAGAAGCCAAGGCAATCAGTGAAGAAATAATATCTCTTCAAACAAATGAAGACATATTTGCAAAATTTACTTGAAATAAATCATAGATCCAAGCATAGACTAAGACTATATGGATAATAACAAAGGATGAATTTTGGCCAGTTATTCCCAATCAGTCTTATTAGGGACACTATCCCCTCTATTTTCCTGAAAAGAAATTAACATGTACTATTATAACTTCAGTATGAGATCTACTTTTGGAAAATCAAGATAGCTTAGGTACAAAAAATAGTATGTATTTCAATGTAGACATGCTGGGATAAAAACACTTAGTAGGTAAAATGAAAGAGAAGTCTGGATATATCATTAATTAATTAATGGGATATGAATATTCGGTGGATTCAAATATCATAAGCAGTTTTTTGTTTTCTGTAATATAGTGATGTCAAAAACATTCCATCAAGAAATAAAAAACATTATTTGCTTAATTCATAAAGTATATTTCAATTTGGAAAATTAAAAAAATACACACACACAATATTTTATATGCCAACAGACAAATTAGGTTTCAATTATCATGCAAGTTTTGCTTTTTTGAATTTACATGAATGGGGAATGACCCATTTAGAAGTGTGAGAGGGGCAATTTACGGTATAGGGTTATCCTGTCCATTGAGGGTAAGGACACCCTGACCCTGGTTGTAGAATCGCAGCTGTTCCCACCTAGTCCTGGAAGAGTGAACAGAAAGAGTGTTTTCAAACCCTTTTGAGAATAAGTGATCCAGGCCATAACAAACAGACAAAAACACCAAAAAAGCCACAAGGATATGTCACATGAACGAAAGAGAAAGGAGAAGAGATGAAACAGTTTCAGAGGCTCCTTTGTTTCTTCGTATCTCCAGATTAAAGAGAAAGCCTTCGTTTTAGGCCTTCCATGAAGGAGGAACATTTCGGCAGAGAACAGTGGGGAGCTGTACTTTGGCCCCCCTTGGTCGCCTCACTGAGCAGTGTCCCAGGGAGGAAGTCCTCAGCCTGGTGGGCAGCTTCCCAGAGCCACTTTCCGAGCTCTGTGACTCCTTGGTCAACTGGGCTTTGGAGTCTTTGGTTCACCGGGACACACAGCGGCTTTTCTCAGGAGCTAAAGTTTCTAGCTGCACGGATTTCCCACAAATAATGTTTTCCATGTGTAAGCGGTTTGCAGACCCCAAGGGGCTTGCATATCCACGGCTTCCTTAATTTGAAAGAAGTGTAGGTAGGTAAGGGGTCAGGCTCAGCCACGATCCCGTCTGGTCTGGAGCAAGGGCTTTATGCGGGGACTCTTTAAAGGCCCCGGCCCTGGAAGGGGGCGTGGAGGAGTGTCCTCTTTCGGTCCCCACCCTGGGCCCGGCTGCACAGCCAGCCAGGGAGGGCTGTCTCCTCCCCTTCCCGCAGCTGCTGATCTCTCGGCTCTCAAGCCAGGGGCAGGGGACGCCGCGCAGCGACTCCTTAGGCTCCTAAGAGGGTACTCGCCCCGGCCACCAGGATGGCAGGAGCCCCCGGGGTCCTCCTCCTCCTGCTCCTCTCGGGGTATCTCGGGGACGCTCAGGGGCAGCGGTCCCAGCAGCGGAGGCAGCCCCAGGCGCACCATCAAAGAGGTAAGTCGAGGCACAGGCTTTGGACGGCATCCTTTCCGGGCCGCGGCTCCTGCGTCCGTTCTGCAGAGTTCCTCTCGGGGAGAGAGCTCTCTGCAGCGCGCTGGGGAAGAGGCCGAGGGATGCAAGTTCAGGTCAGCGGCGAGGGAGCGCGACTCCCAGCCAAAGGGACCGCAGCGCTGTGCGGCGTTTATTCCTTTCCGAGAGGTCTGTAATCTTGCACGCTGATTTACAGAATCTCTCCAAGAGGCGAACTTTTCCAGTTGGGAAAAAAAGAGGAAAAAAAGTTTTCCCCTATGCAGCTCCATTTCTGCAGTGAATGCTTGGCTTCTCTCGGCTGTTAGTCCACCTTGGAACTTCGGGAAGGGCATCCGATGCGTCTTTTCCGCCACCTTAAGTTGAAGGGACTTTGTTCCCGGTTATCTAGGTAGGATTTGTAAAGGGGTCAAGCATGTGGAATTTTTACTTTCACAGCAGTGAGGCTTCCAGCCGCATCTTTGCCAGACCCACATCCCATCTCTGTATCTTTTTTTTTTTTGTAATGAACTTTGTCCTCTTGCTTGAATACCGAAGATTTCTATCTCTTGCATTTTTTAAGAGCATGGTGACCAGATAGAGACTGGCTTGAGGGGTGGGTGGGTGCTGTGCTTTGGAAAACAGTTGTGTTGAATGTAATTTAAATTATTCTCATGAAAGCATCTGATGTTTATGTGCATATCATTTCTGAATCTCTTGGGAGCCTTTGAAGGGGCATTTTATCATGACTTTTAAAAGAAACTCACGCGCAACTTTTAAAAACATAATTTGTAACACATTATTTCGGCAAAAATTTCTTTAAATTGAGAACCTGAAAGAAAAAAAAAAATAACTTGAGAAAAAAGGATTTGATTCAACCATGAAAATAGCCTTAGAGTATAAACTCCGGAAATTAGAAACTTTGGATGAGGCTCAATCTGCTGAAGTTGTGAAATATCTTTGCACCTTTAGTGCTTAACTAGAATAAAGCCATGACTAACAGTTCTGATGGTTGCTCTTGTTCTAAACCAGCATGCTTAGCAGCACTATTTTATTAAAGGAGTAAAAAGATACTGTAACCTTCTTGCTATAATAAGGCCTTGATTATGACTCTTAGAATAAAAATGATCTTTAGCTCACTACATAATTTTTTTCTCCTATTTTTGTTGTGTCTTCACTGAGAGGTAAAGGGGACCAATATGACTTAAATAACAGAGTTTTCTCCAACAGTTTTTATTAGTGAATATTGGTAGACAGGTTAATAGGCTTCATTTTGCTAGATTTGTACAGGCGCACAACATACTGTAATCATCCTCCTCATCGTCATCTGCCCCCACTCTGACTTTCATATTTGTGGGGAGCATTCAATGTGTATAATATCTTTTGGCTGTATTATTGAGGTAGTGATTTTGAGACTATCTTTGGGAGCTGATTTTTAAATTACTACTTTTACTATTAACTTTGCTCAACTCTATGATGTATCTTAATAATACAATACTTTAGTACTGTTGGAGAGCAGAGGGGCCAGGACACCAGCCCCTCCTGTGCATTTGGAATGTGGCAGCAGCTCAAAGCATGAGGAGTAGAGGGCAAGAGGGTTGCGGAGAATTTCCCCTCAACCTCTCCTTCATCTCTCACGCCTTCACTTTCTCTTGTAATTGAGTTAAAATTAACTGTGCTTTCTGCAGTCCAGGCGTACAGAAGGAAGACTGTACAGTGAACACAGAAGGCAGAGTTTATGCCATCATTCTGTTGAGAGATCACTTGATCATTATCTAATAAGGACTCTTAAGCAATATCACCACAACACCAAGTCTACTATACACTGAGCTGTTATGCACTCAACTATTGCTTTCATTATAGACTGTTTGCAATATATTTGAAGGCTGACTCCAGGATAAATGGCTGAAATGTTTTAATAGTAAAAGCATGTATAAAATATATTTATGATTCCATAAATTTGTAAAATGCTTTGTAATTTAAAAGTACTTCATATACATGATCTATTTTCATTCTCAGCTATTATTATTCTGATAAGACGTTTGAAAACTGAGGCTTGACTTAAATTCATGTAACTGATACTAATAACTTAAGTGTCAACAGCTAAAACTACCTCCGGTATCATTTATGCTGAAAATTCCCTCTTTATGGATCCAAGATTTCTTTCCATTATGTTTTGAGTCCATGCTTTCTTTTCAATGCTGTTGGGTTGAGGCAAGCTTTCAGCATAGATTGCTGGATGAAAATTTGACAAGAAGTGTTTTCTTGGCAGTCACCAAAGTTTTATGTCCTGTTACACACCCGAGCATTGATCTTCCTGGCCAAGCGCTAATTATGTAGTTCAGTTCCTGTTGTAGCATCACATCAGTTGATTAAGGATGGTGACATGAAGCAATCATTTATAGTCCTAACTGAGCTAGAAGTTTAGATTTTTGTTTCTTCGTTTGCTTTTAACTTTTTAAAAATGTTCTGTTGCTTCTATGGCATACCGAAGTATAATACGAATAACAGTGGTTTAACAAGTGTTATATTCCAAAGAAATCCTTTGTCTAAATTTAGCATCAACGAAATGGGAGAACAATATAGTCAAAATGATTGTACACTTGGGAAAGACAATGGATAACACCTTTTCTGACATTTTTGTAATATATAGAAAAAGAAACATAATGCTAGGTAAATTGCAACTGAGTGAAAAATAGATTCCAAAGAATATTTCATAGTGGATCAAGGTAAATCTGGAGCAAATTCTCAGTTAGTATGACCTATTCTGGTAATGAGCTGATTGAAAACAAAAACTTTTAAATCTATCAAAACTTCCAGTAGTCCAGAACACATTCTGGACCACTTCTCGCTAAACTGGTGAATAACTTAAGCAACTTAAGAGGTCTCCATAACCTGGATCATGAATGGAACCTACCTACAGTCAGTTTTACTATTCAAATCCAGACGTTAAGTAATTATGTTTTCTGGAAATGTTTCATATCTCTTACATGTACAGAAATGAATACAAAGACGGGATGAGAAATGCCAATCTGAGTTACAAAATATTCAATGTAAAAATATAGCGTAAATGAGGACAGAGAGATGACTTTCATTCATAGCTCATACAAGAAGACACATCTGGTTAGCATGCTTGGATTCCTCACTGACAAATAGGTTTATATTCAGAGGAAAGACAGTAGAACTGCTAAGACTCTGAAAAGATTTTTCAGAGCTTGAATGTTTCACATAACACCTTTTGAACTGAAAAAGGAAAGTTTGGGGGAGGGAAATAAGAGATATCTTCAGATTTTTAGAAGGATTATTACATGAGAAAGGCATTAAAATGTCCTTTCTAAAGGTTGAACTGAGATCCAGAGAAGTAACAGAAAGCTTTGACTTTGCTGGTATGGAGGAACCCCCCCACCCGGTCCCAATCTGAGTGATTCTGCCAAAGCTGGGTTGTTTGTGTTTGGCTACTCTTGCCACTGAAATGTCCATCGGTGATCAGATGTACAGCTGGCCAGCATATCTGGAGGGCTGGGCTCTACCAAGAGACAGACAGAGAGCAGGAGAGATCTAAGATGCATTAAGTCTCTGCTTTTTCAATGCCAAGAGTCTAGTTTGTAATCTACTGGTTTTGGAGTGCATACTTGCATATAAATTTCTGAATTCTTAAGAATGTCAAGAAAATGTTAAATGTATTTAAATGTGTTTTTAGATGGCTTCTGGAATTTAAAATAATACAAAAAACATGTTTGGGACAATTCTCACACATTTTTGGCAAGAACACTTAAACATTTAGTCAGAAATTTCCACATCACGGTCCACTTTGGGATTCTAAAACATCTTGTATTAAACATGAGAAAATAATTTACAAATTACCTAAGAAAATTTCAGGGGATTTATTGTGGTTATAAACCTGGAATTATAATTTTTATTCTTTCCTTTCTTCATATGTAACTTAGCCCATTAGTTACACACTAGTCTAATAGTTTAGTAAACTGATTATGTAATATATAGTGTCTATATAATATTTTATATAGTTTTATATAGAATGTTATATATAGTGTAGCTGAGAATAAAAATATATTCAATGTTAACTATCATAGATATGATAGAATTAATGAAATTTGTATAAATGTAATTTTTTTTCACATATCAGTATTATAAATTTCTATTTTGTTTTTAAGATTTTTCTATTGTAAGGTTTTATAGACAATAATGAGCTAAATCTATCTCAAAACCTGCTGGGTATTACCAAAAATTGGTATATGGTTTACCAATTCTTCCTCAATTCCCTTCAATTTCTCTCACTTTTAAAATATGAGATAATTGTCATCTGCACTAAAATAAATATTCACCTTATGTAGATGTAAACATTTTAAAACTCAAATAGGTATCTCAAGTGTTCTAGCCAAATAGGACTATTGTAAGGAAAAATGATAATATGTTTTATAGAAAGTAATATTTTATGTTAATGTATTAAATGGTACTATATTAAATGATAAAATATTGTATAATAATACAGTAAATAATAAATTTATGGCAAATTTTTGATAGTATGATTCATTATTCTTACATCTTTTCCTTTGCATTATAATTCAAAAAGTTTACTTTTTGATAAATTTCCCTCTTTAATATTTCTTCAGTCCCTATTTATCTAAAGCAGAACACTCTCACTCACTTGTAATCCATTTACACACTTAGAAAACACTGGCTATTTGTGGACAGTGACTCATGCGCCAGACATTTCTATTTGGACTTCTGAGGCCAAAGCAGTGTTTCTTTTGATCCAAGGAGGTTCAGCAAGAACTATTAATACTTAAAGTTTATACCAGGTCTCACAACTCTCATAATGGGTTTTAGGATTATGGGACCACAGTGCTGGCCACCGTATCAGTGGATGGATGAGCTGTAGCTCAGTGGTGAGGTGCTTGCCTAGCATGTGTAAAGTCCTGAATTCAAGTTTGACTATTGTAGGTGGATGAATTGGTAACTAGTTGTGT